TGGCCGCCTCGCGGCCCCCGCCCCGGCGTGCGGCTCCTTCCTCCCGTCTGCCATTAAAGCACCTCCTTGGGAACAGCACAGCCGCCTCTGCCCTGCTTGTCGAGACCTTTGGGGGGGGCGCATGGGGAGGCCTGGGGACCAGAGGCACTGGGGAGGATCCCTGCACCCAGTCCCCTGGGGGGCGCCTCAACCCCCTTCCTGCTCAGGCAAGGCAATGGCCAGGTGGGGGTCGGGGGCAAAATATGGGTCAGGCACACACCTTCCAGGCAGCTGTTGCTACCAGTGAGGAAAGGAGCACAGGGCAGAGGAGGGAAGCAGCACTTTATAGCAATCACAACTATTCACATCAATGACTTGTCACAGCTCTGACCCTCCTCCCTGCCCCCCTGCAGCATCCTGGCTGGTCCCAGAAGGATTGCTCTGGAAAGGGGTGGGAGAAGGGAGGGGAGGAGCAACATGGCCCGCTGCCCCTCCTCGGCCACAACACGTGGACAGTCACGGAGGGCAGAAATCTGTGAAATAGGGGTGCTGAAGCGCATCTTCGGCGGAGATCCGGTGCATTGGGTTGCATTTCAGCAGGTTCTGGAAAGCCAAAGGGGGGGGCAGGGTTAGGGCTAGAAATCGCTGAGAGAGAAGATGTGCCCAGCAGGAACTGGGAGGTCTCCTGCCCTGGCCAGGAGGGGGGAGGGCGGACTGAGACGCTGGCAGACACAGAAAGACACAGAGAAGCGCGGCTCACCTGCAGCAGGTCGCGGCCTGTTGCGTTCAGCTTCGGCACCACGTTGACCAGTGAAGTAGTGGCAGGATACATGGGGTAGGGCTGAGAAGGACCAGGCTGGGTGAGGGAGGGATCGCCTGCCAGAGGCCATCTGCTGCCCCCGCCCCCCAGGACTGCCCATGCTCAGCAATGAGGCGGCAGCACTGCCCCACATCCCAAGCTGCCTCTCTCATGGTGGGGGAGGTTCCTGACCTTGTAATCGGGGAGTTTGGTCATGCCTGGCCACTGCTCCTCTGTTGGGGTCCCCAGCAGCGTGGAAGAGTTAAGGACTGGGCTGAGTGTTCACCTATCCTCCCTCCCTCTCCCTCTCTCTCTCTCTCTCTCTCTCTCTCTCT